TACTAAAAACTTGAATAAAATATAAAACTAAAAATAAGTACAAACTTAAGCACAAACTTAAAACATGCTGGAATAATTCAAATTAAGTTTTACAAACTTGAAACTCAAATCGCAAACTTAAAACTTCCAAGTCTTAAAAATTTTTTAAAAATGTAACAAATTTCGCCCTATGAATAAATAAATAAAAATTATCTTAAAATTTTTAAAACTTTCTCTCTCTCCCCCTATTTATTTCAACAACTAAATATACATACAATTATTAAGTACATTGTAAAAATTTATGATATAATTTTTTGGTTAGTTTTAAATTTATTTTTTTATCAAAAAATTTTATTTAAAGAGAGAGATAAGAGGGGAAAATATATAAAATTAATTTTATATTTATTTTTTATTACCGAAAAAAATTATTTTTTTAATTCTTACACATGATTACACATGATTATTAAAATAGAATTAAAATAAAATTAATTTTTTTAACTGATAAAAAGATAACAAGGAATTTAGAAAAAAATGTTGCTATATTTAGGTGACTAATAGACACGAAAAAATACATATATAAAAAATAAATAAAAAAAATTAAAAAATAAAAAAAATTTATAAAAATTAATTTAGAAGACGAGATTAAAAATACGCGCAAAAAAAAGGAAAATAAATTAGAAAAAATATTTCTTTAATGTAAATAAAAAATAATTTAGGAAAAGAAGGCGGGATTAAAAAGATTAAAAAATTGTTTAAAAAAATCTTAGAAAATTAAATAAAAATAAAAAAATATTACTAATAAAAAATTTTAAAAACAGACATTCTTGTGGACATAAAATAGGATACAGAACTTTTTAAATAAGAAATTGGAATTTCAGAAATCGAAATGTGTGGATTTCAAAAAGTGCGCGTCGAAATGCGCATTTTTGGCACCCTTAATTGGATATATTTCTGGGTCGTAAAAAAACGTGAACTTTGAGTGGAAAAATTTTTTCCCCAAATTTACTGAACCAGACAATTAACAAAATGTCCACAAAAAATGTCCGCCCAAATTAAAAAATAAAATAAACCAACCTCTTCTTCTTTGCAACAATTTCCACATATTATCAAGCCTTTTGTTGTTGTTGACAATCAAAAATATTCCAAATTCCATAATTATTATTGCTCACCAGTTTTTTGACCATTTAATTTGTTATTGTTGTTGAAGAGAGGATCATCCACCATCATCTTCTTTTTCCATAAAATTTTCTAATCTAAAATTCAAATTAATTTTAAAAAATTCTCTCCTCTACTCAAAAAATATTATTAAAAGAAAATATAAAATCTTTTAAAAAACACAAAAAAAATTTTCAAAAAAATTTTTTTCAACTTTTCTTTTTTTATCAATTAACAACAACACCCATACAATTAAATAACAATTTTTTTAAAATAATATACTTTTCATTCTCTCCTTCCTTTCAATAATTACTTCTTACTTTTCTTAACAGTAGTAAATGAATGTCTTGGCTCAGATTCTGAAGCTTTTGATTGTGAAGCAGAAGAATGACGACGTGCAGCTTTTTCAGCAATTTTCTCCTTAAACAGAAAAATTTTTTTAGATACTTGTAGGCTATACAAGGTCCGTCCCTATACGCTCAAACACTAAAAACTATAAATAGTTGACAAGGCAAAGGCAATTACAGCATGGATGTCACAGGTTACCATTAAACAGGTTTACCCGTAATTTCGCTCGGAAGAAAATTTTGAAGATTCCGACCAAATTTTTTTAAACCGGTGACACCTCTGATTTACTGAGTCAAACATCTTTGCAAAGCTAAAGCTGACAAAAATGGACTCTTCACAGCATTTACCTATATGAGTCAGTAGGTACTAGGGAAATTTTCGTAAGTTCAAAACCGTACAGAAGAATCAAAATGAATTCCTGGTTTTTCGGTTCCAAGGCGAAACTATATTGTCATTAAAGATTTTCACCTAACCCTAATAGTTTTTTAGTGTTGGAGTTTTTTTTTAATTTCACCAAAAAAAAACCTCATTTGTATCCTACAAATAAACCCCAAAAAATAACAAAAACCCGAACCTTTGCATATTTAGCCAAAGTTTGATGGTAAATTGCAGATTCTTCACGACGCTTTTGACGGCGCTTGTTTTTGAGAGCAATACGGCGGCGCTTGCGTTGAAGAGTTATTGGAGTTACCAAACGTTGAATTTTTGGCATTTTAACACGTGGCTTCTTTCCTAAAAATTTTTTTTTGAAAATTTCTCCTCCATCAAAACTTAAAAAAACCTTCTTTTGCCGGAAGTGTACGTCGAATAACATATTTACGAACATCATCTTCTTTGGTTAAATTGAAGAGACGACGAATTTTTGTTGCCCGCTTAGGTCCAAGACGGCGAGGAACAATTTTGTCAGTCAATCCTTCAATCTCGTTATCTCCTAAATTATATAAGAAAATTTAAGTTGATTTCGAATGGATTCTTCCTAATGTTAGTAGGGGTTCCCTATAACCCATAAAAGCGTAACAAGGCCTCACCTACCCACCTGGCATCCTACGATGATTTCAACGTATAGTCTTTAGTCTTGTTTAATTTAATGAACAGGGATCTTATTGACTTGGCCAGGGTTTATAACGGCTTATCCGCAAGTATGTACGGCCCGGGTTCCCATAAGTCTTGCTTAACAAATAGGTATTGAAACCCAAGATCCAAGGACAGGGAATAAACAAAAATATAACAGGGAAATTCCTCAACCACCAAAAATTAATCACTTAAGGAAAGCTTACATTAAAACGACCAACCCCCCCCCCCCTCCACACCTATTAAACTCATCAAAAACCCAAACCTTTCCGAACAATAATGCAAGCCAAAGCACTCAAGTTTGCATCAACAATACATCCTCTAACAGACTTTCGTTTACGTTCACCCTTTCTACGTTGACGATAACAAGATTGTCCTTTAGATAAAAGTAGACGAACACGGCCATTTGTAATAACTCCTTGCTTCATTGGAAATCCTTGTTTGTCATTTCCTCCAGTTATACGCAAAATATAACCCTTTAAAATGACAAAAATAAGGGGTGAAAGGCAACTCAAGGAATTCCAAATCACGGAACAGACAAGTCAAGGAACGACCAACTCGTTCCTTGGCTTGTCTGTTCCATGAGTTTGTCGTTCTTTGGTTTGTCTTTTCCTTGTCTTGTCCGTTCCTCGAGTTAGCCCTCACAAAAAATAAACAACCCTTCCCCTATAAAATTTAAAAAGAAAACCTTCCATTCATCGCCCAAAGGGTCAGCTTCAACTTCCTGAGCCATACGCTTCTCAAAGAAGATTCGATATTTCTTCTCATCTTCCAACTCAAAAGTTTTTTGTGCACCAGTTGCTGGATATGCAACGTTTAATTTCATTGTTTAAATCTCTAAAAAATGATTTTTATTAAATATAAGTGAGTATAAAATAGGTAATAAGGAACTCTAAAAACAAAAATAAACCCGCAACAAACTAAAAAACAACCCACAAACAAACAAAAGTTAACCAAACTAAATCAAAGAAAATCTAAAAACCACGACATAATGGTACAACGGATAAAATAAGACAAAATGGTAAAATGAAACAATTTAGAACTTAACGACATAATGGTACAACGGGTAAAATTCGACAAAATGGTACAACCACTTTTCTCTCACCGTCTGTCTTGTACTATTTTTTCCTAAATTTCTCTACCTCTTAGAAAATTAATGTTCTCTAAAAATTTAACATAAACACAACGCCAAAACCATAATATAGGCAAAATTATAAACCTAAAGCACTCTACTTTTATAAAAATCAATAAAACAAAGTTAGGGCTTAAACTAACGCTGTAAACTTAAACTTTTTTCAGGTTATCTACTTAAAAATTTAATATTTTTGTCAAGAGTTGAATGAATATACATGACTTTTCAATGGCCATGGCAATATGATTTTCCACCTTTTTTCACGTAACATAATTTCTAACGAATTTTATTAAAAATTTTTTCCACAGATTACAACCAAATTTACAAACAAGAGATAAACAATTAAAATCTTGGAGTAGACTTGTACTTGATTATTGTCAATTTAATAAAATTTATTCTGCCAATTTTGAAGAAATTTCAAATTCTGAACTTTTTAATAATCGACGACTTAATAGTTTGTTTTTTTTTCTTTTTTTTTAAATTTTCTTAAAAAATAACAGGGAAAAAGCCGAGGGTTCGAACCTTCACCCAGCCCAATTTTTAACAATTCTAATTTTTTGGTTTAGTGGGAAAATGTTAGGTTTACCCCTAGAATAGGTTGAGGGTTCGAACCCCACTAGCGGTAAACTATTTTCTAGTCAATTTAAATTCCTTTAAAAATTCTTAGGAATATTTCTAAACCTTTTACACATTAGAAAACATTTTTAAAACCCTTTTAAACCTCTAAAACCTCCCCTTTTATTTTTAAATAGGACGTTTAGACGATTTTGGCATTCGCGCAGTTTTTGATCATTTAGAAAATTTAAAACATATAGAGTGGTGTGATAAACAAAAAACTCGTTGTAATATTTATTGGAGACGTCCAGAAGAGTGGGCAATACAAATTTACGAGTGGGCAAATTCTATTGGTTTATTAAACAGTGTTGTTACTTTGTTTGAATTGACACAAGGGGAAGACGCTATTCAAGAATGTAAAAAAATTTTTTTCTTTTTTTAAATAAATTTTTTATTCAAAAACAATTAGGAAAAATCAGACGTGAAAAACTGAATTTTTTAACCAATTTTTACCATTTTTAAATTTTTGGTGTAGTGGGAAAATGTTGTGTTTACCCATTAGGAGGGGTGAGGGTTCGAACCCCTCCAACTTCCCAACAATTTTTCTTTCTCTTAAAATTTACTTAAACAATTTAGAAATATTTCTAAACCTTTTAAACATTAAAACAATTCCTTTTTCAGCCTTCTACGGTTTGGAGAAAGACATTTTATTAAAAGGCTTGACTCACTTGGAGAAACAAGGAAAAGCAGTTTTAATTGATATTGACGGAGAGAAAGGAGGAGTTAAATTTATTTAAAAAAATGGAGGAAGAAATAAAGAAGAACGAAGAAGCTGCTATTTTAGTGGATAATTGTAATAATAAAAAAGGTTTTTTGTCATTTTTAAAAATTTTTAAATTTTTGGTGTAGTGGGAAAATTTTGTGTTTACCCAGTGGGAAGGTTGAGGGTTCGAACCCCATCAGCGACAAAAAAATTTTTCCTTCTTAAATTTTTTCTTAAAAATTCCTAAAAAAAATTTTTTCTTTTTTTCTGCAGGTTCTCATTTTTTAAAATATAACAATTTTGTTGAAGAAGGCGATACAGTTATTATTTATGTTAATCCTGGTACTAAATATTCTATTGTTGTCAAAAGAGGCAAAACTATACACATGAAATATGGTGCTTTAAGACATGAATTTTTAATTGGAAAACGGTTTGAAAATTTTTTAAAAGTTTTTTACTTTTCCCACCAATTCTTAACAATTTTTGACTTTTTGGTGTAGTGGGAAAATGTTAGGTTTACCCAATGGGAGGGTTGAGGGTACGAACCCCACTGCCTGTAAATTTTTTTTTATTCCTCTTTAAAAATTTTTTTCTTTCTAGTTATGGAACTCCAATATCTGCCACAGCCGGTTATGTTTACATTTTACGCCCTTCTCCACATTTATGGACTCAAACATGTCCAAAACGTACCCAAATTTTGTATACTCCGGATATTGGAACAATAATTTTACTTTTGGATATTAAACCAGGCTCTATTGTTTGTGAGACGGGGACAGGTTTTTTTCTAATTAAAAAGACAATAAAAATATTTTAAAAAAAGGAAGTGGTTCTCTAACTCATGCTTTAGCAACAACTGTTGGGCCTAAAGGAAAAGTTTATTCTTATGATATTGAAGCTGAACGTGTTGAGGCTGTTAAAGCAGAAATTGAGGTTTTCTCTTTAAAAAATATTTTTTTGGTAGAATACCCACAGAGTTAACCTTACTTTTTTGGAGAAGGCCAGTAATCCTCAACAATTGGGCCGACAACTCAAATAATCGTTCAAGGGAAGTCGATAGTTCGGACCCCTTCAGGAAAACACCCTTACAGATCATTGCCCTCCTTCATTAGGTTACCAATAGGTTGCCACAACAGTTGCTCCAAATACACTCCGGGAGTCGAGGTTCGGACTCCTCCAGGAAAACATTAAATTCTGGCCCTAAGCCGGGAGTCACTACCATGCTTGTTCAAAACGTCCATTCCCCGAAAAATCCTCTCCGCTCTAATTTAAAAATTTTTTTCTAAAGGCTCACGGACTCTCCTCCATTGTTTCCATAAATTGCCACAACAGTTGCTCCGACAATGGCTTCCCTCCTGAAATTTCAAATAAATGTGATGCTTTATTTCTTGATTTACCTTCTCCATGGTTGGCTGTACAAGCTTGTGTTGAAGCTTTAAATCCAAATAAATTTGGCCGTCTAGTTTCTTTTTCTCCATGTATTGAACAAGTACAACAAATGGTACAAACAATGGAGAAGAGTGGATTTATTAGTATCGAAACTATTGAAATTGTTCCAAGGAAATTAAAAGTTTGTTTAAAGTTAAAATTAAGAGGGTTCAGGTTTTAACTGGGATCAACTCCCGACTATTGGAGAGACCTTTTTGGGTTATCAGGGTCGTGGACGAATCTTTCCTCTCCAGAGACCTGCCTCTGACTTTAGACGGGGACCGCAGTCTTCGGGCTGTTGACTCCTATATAAGCAAAACCCCAAGTCCTCGGGGGTTCCTGACTCCTCTACTAGTCTAGAGCTTCAGTACTCGAGTTCTTGATTAAAAAGGGATCAAAAACTCCATCAGATTGATCAATAAGGTTTTTATCCATGACCTTCCCATGTCAAAACGCCTTTAGAAACCTTTAGGATTAAAGGTATTATTTCCTTAAAAATTGGACATTTTGTCCCATTTTTCCTCTAAAATCAAAAATTTTCTTTATACAGGTTATCAATGTTGAATCTGAAACTTTGGCTGAAACAGCATTACTTGGATCCAATTTACCTATAAACTATAGAGGAATTGAAGAAAATACTTTGACTAAACAACAAAATAAAAATCGTAGAAATAATAAAAGAAAACGTCCAAAATGGGCAGAAGGAAATGATCAAGAAGAGACAAATGGAGAAGAAAATTCAAAAAAAGAAATTATATTTGATACAATTCCATTTCCAACAAATCAACCTACACATACAGGATATTTAACTTCTGCTACTTTATTACCTAAACAACAACGTGCTTAAAGAGTTGGGGTTGTTTATTAGCTAAACAATATGTTCAGTTAGCTGTCCCCCCTTTGCTTCTTCAAATTGTTCCCCTCCTCCCTTCGCTTCCACCCCATCCTTCCTTTTTTTTATTTTTAGTTATTCTACTTTGTTTTTTCTGCCTACCTATTCAACACCCTAAACAACGTTTTTAAAGTTGTTCCCCCCATTTCACCTACATTTTTACTTATGTTAGTTGTTTTTTTGCCCACTCAACAAAATACACAATAAAATTTTAGTCTATCAAGTCTTGATGATTTTTCAAAATTTCTATCTGTCAGTTTCGATTAAAGTATTTCCGTGCCAAGTCCCTTAATTCCGAAAATCCGTCTTAATCCGCCCAAATTCGTCGATATCCTCTGATGTCCTTCTGGATTGATCCCAGTACAAGGTACGACTAGTACGAATTTTGGTACGGGCGTCCAAGAACTGTTAAATCCTAAACCTTTGTAAACCCCTTAACACTCTCAAATACGAGCTAGACTTTTTTAAAAACAATTATTTTAAAATTCAAATACCAAAAAAAATTAAAAGTGAGGTAAGTGACTTAATAAAAGGCCTCAAAAATTTTTTACAAAAATAAAATTCTTAAAAAAAATATACTTTTGACACCAAAATTTCATCTCAACTCTTCTCTTTTGTCACAATTTGAGTAACACTTGACTTGGTTTCAGTCTGTGTCCCAATGCCCTGTACAATTTGCAGCCCAGCTTTCCTAGCCATCCTTCCAGCTATTGAACGAGGACCAAATTCATAAATTTGAAAACTTGCAAGTGTCGTGTGACCTAAAGCATGTAAAGCGTGATGGGTTGTTTGGGAAGCTTCTGGGCCGTAACTTGAAAATAATTTTTTTGGGAAAAATTTTTAAAATTAAAAAAAACCGTAAATTAACAGTTTGAACAGTTTCATCAGAAATACATCTAATTAGAGTCTTGGAAGCTTCTTCAAGCGAAATCCAAATTGTTGAGAATGCTGATAAAAATTTAAAAAAATTTGAAAAAAAAAATTTTTTTAAGAAAATTTTTCAAAAAGTGTCAAAATGTCAACTCCCCCGGATTTTTAAAAAATGTCAGATGTCAACTAGAGCTCGGGACCCCGTAGCTCCCGTCCCAAAATCCCGGGGTTTTTAGCGACAAACAGAATTACCGGAATTTACGTGATTAATCCCGCGGGATCCCGCCCCGTTCAAAATTTTTAAACTCAATCCTGTTCCGGAATCCCGGGAATGCGATTTTACCGACCTCTAATGTCAACTATCTCAAAATTTTTTTAAATATGTCAAAGTGTCAACTAAAATTTTCTATGTCAGCAATTCCAAAAATTTTTTACTACTGTCAAGCTTGTCAGCTACTCCAAAAATAATTCAAATTATCCAAAAAAACCTGTAATTCCCCCTCCAACAACAGTAGCAGTTGACCTAAAAGCCCTTCCTCCAGTTCCATCTCCACTTAAACCATCTGCCACTTTTTGGCCTATAGCAACGCCAACATCTCCAATTTTATCGAGAACAAAACGAGTAACTTTAGCAACAACTTTACTTCCTTTATGTAGAATTACAACACCATTTTGAATTAATGGATGAATATTTGTTGGTTGGCCTATTGGTTCCTTAAAAAATTAAAGGAAAATTTATTCGTAAAATATAGGGCACAAAGGGACAACATCAGAAATGGCGAGGAAATCGAAATTTTTTAGTTTTTCACAAAATTTTAGGATTGGGTTTCGGATTAGGATTTCGTGTTTCGAATAGGATTTCGTGTTTGGTTTCAGATTTCGTTTCGAATTTCGAGTTGAGTTTCGGATTTCGTTTCGGCTTTCGAATTTCGACTCGAATTTCGTGTTGGGTTTCGGATTTCGAATTCGTGAGGGTTTCGAATTTCGTATTGGGCTTCGTTTCGAAAAAAACCAGGGTTCATGTATCAGCTAACCCATCCTAACCCTGATACTTACAAAAAAACAAAAAATAAACCAAATTAGCTCTATATTCTTCCCCTTTATCAGCCATATATTTTCCCGTTTTTGTAGCAGCACTAGTAGCCCCAACAGCCAGCTTATCCCCCACATCAATCAAAAACTTTGCTATTCGTTCAGAGGTTCGTTGTTTTTGTTCTTGGGACATATTTGAAATTAATTGGCTTTCTTTAATTGTTGAAAATTGGTTTAGGGCAAAAACAAATTCTTTTTCAAGTTGAGAAGAAATGTCGCGAGGTAAAATAATTCCAACAAACATTTGTGGGTGTTCTCTTGTTGGGTTTGGAAGGACATAAATACCTTGAATTTTAAAAAAACAATTAAAATAAGGGTGGGGCGGGATATGAACAAAGAAGCACGAAGTCATCTTAGGAAGATTCATAAACAGTTCTGGGTATGGCGTCTGGAGGTAGCTCTGGTCGGAGCTGGCTTCTGGCTGGAGCCAGAGTTGATTTCAAAAAAAAACATATAAAGTCTGGAAGCTATATCGAATCCAGCTCCGAAGCTACAAAATGCCCAATACCCCATCAAGAAAATCAAAAGTGTTCACAAATCCACACCCAAATTCAAACTATCTACCCGCCTCAAAGGTCAAATTCCCCGACATCCTAAGAAAGGCACAAGACTACCATAAAACCCAAGATTTATTTCCCCTTACAACCCCTCAAAAAATAACAAAAATAAAATACCCAATTCATTTTTCATAACAGTAGTAAGTTGAGGTCCACGTAAAGGATATACCCATGTTCCAACTTGAATAAATGCTGGAGGTAGAGGAGCATTTTTTGAGCAAGTTTCATCTTGTTTGAGTTCAACAAATATGGCAAGTGAAGATGGAGGGGTTGGAGCATTCGTCTTGTCACCCTAGAAAGACATATTTAGATACAGTAAATATTCTAATAAACGCCCATCCCTAATAGGAACTCATACCCTGTCAGAATCTCACTTAATGAGTCTGTTGGTCGCGGTGATGTGGTTCTCGATGTGGTCTCTGTGAGTGGGCTTCTAATGGAGCAAGGGCTTCTATTGGAGATGGCACCTTTATTAGAACATTTACGGCAATTAGGCCTATCTAAAAAAGTAAAATTTTCAGTTAAGGAAAGCGCAGTCCGCTAATAAAATCCCCCTCCTTTTTCAACAAACCCTAAGAGGGATGTCACGAGTTTTTTTCGACTTTTTTTTCGACCCGAAATCCGACCCGACTTTCTTCTCGACCCGTGATATCCCTGAACCCTAAAGACTGTCTACCAAAACCAAAAAAAATTCCCAAATTTAACAACTAAAAAATAACCTCAATAATAACCAATTGTACACCATCAGGTAACCAGTAATACAATTGAGCATTAGGTTCAAATGTTGTATTCAAATTCCCTCTAATTTCTGAAATTTTTTCTTTTGAGATTTCTTCGTTTTTTGTATTTTTAATTTCTTCAATTCTATTTTCAACCAATTCTTTAACTCGTGATAAGCCTTGAGAGGTTTTGGATAAGTTTTCTTTCTTCTCAGAATTTGGTTCTTTTTCCAGTTCAAATGCTTGTTGGGACAAGTCCAATCCTTTCTGGTACATTAGCAAGGCGTTTTGCTGTAAAAATAGAATACATAGTAAGGGCGTATCTACCTCAATGGATAAGCTATATCTTGTAGTTTCCCAAAAAACGGAACAACCCTTCCTTTCGAGATTAGTGACCTATTATAAGTATCACCCGAAACCAGGCAGTAACCAGGATTCTTTCGGAGGACCAGGGGGTATTTTTCGAGCCGTAGGCGAAAATTTTGAGAATTTTAGAAGGCTGTAGGCACCGTATTAAAATAAAATTCACTAAACAACCTTATCATTAACTTCATCGTAGCATAATCCTTGCTCAATAAGCGCATATGCTTCTGAGAATAAACAATCAACGGCATCAGAATTTGACATTATTCGAATAAATTAGAAAAAATTTAACTGAAAAAGTAAAAAAATAATTTTAAATAAAAATAAATAAACTAAAAATAAACCAGTCAGTCCGTTAGCGACTTGAAAAAAAAACTTAAACTTAAACAACATGACCAACGAATGAGTCAACCAACCTATGACTCACTCATTCACGCTCCAAATTAAATTTTAGCAATTTCAAAATCTTAAATGGCCGCCTCCTTCTTTTTCCTCTCAATTTTTAAAGAACCTCCTCCTTACATCGACAAAATGCCCAATGTACTCAAATATAACAAATAACAAAAGTAAGTAAATGTTAAAAACATTTTTAAAGGCAAAAAACATCAAAAAACAAAAAAGTATTTTATTAAACTCAAAAAATAAATAAATGTATTTGATAATATTTTGTATAGTCAACCGGTATTTTTAGCGATCCTCCTCAAATCTCTTCTCAAAAAAGTCTACAACCAACAATGGCCAACGCTTCGAAACAATCCGCGATGGGAGAAATTCAGAGTAGTCCGTCCCAGCATATTGAACGCAATAGAAGATCTAAAAATTATATGGGTTTAAATATGT